CTTTGTAGATAGCTTTAGATAGTCTTAAATATACATTGATTTTGGATTACTTATATAGAAATGAGAGCTTCATCAGTCAATGTTACTTTAATTATGGCATTGAGCTAGTAATCCTTTCTTATTCTTTTTGTAAAGGAAAAAAACATATATATCTGGTAGCTACAAAAGAAAAGAAAATTGTATACTCCATTTCAGTAAGACTTCAGTAAACAAGATTACCCTGTATTGTAACTCTAATAAATGTAAAGTGAGGGGAAGAATGAGATGCTTTGTTATTAAGAATACCTGGTATATGTGATTTGATAGCATGTGAAGAGCAATGAAGGAGAAGGAAGCAGTGAGACCTTGAAACGAGATTGTCCACAAACCACTCAATCAAACACTCTTGCAGGAGAGCGCCCATTCCAATGCCAGATGTGCAATCGGGGATTTGTGAGTAAAACCAAGTTGGATGAACACATGAGCCGTCATCGTGGTGACAGACGGTACCGCTGTTCATACTGCACCAAATCATATGCTGGGGCTTGGGACTTGAAACAACATGTCAGGTGAGTGAAATGAAATTGTTTCATGTTCAGACTTTACTGTCTGTATTTTACTAATTGAAAAGAATAGACAATGGCAAATGTAATGCAGGTCCATTGCATAAGGTTTATTATTTGTTAAGTAGCATTTATCAGTAGATAACAGCTTATAAGATCTAGCACTGTAATGAACTTAAAATGAACTTTAGATTAAAGACAGATAGTCTTTATTTCGTAAATTCATTTTGAATGCTTCATTTTTTAAGCTTGCATTGTATGTCATATTTTCCGACTTTATTTTTACATCATTCCCTGGTATGATTTCAATATCAATTTTATGCAGCAGATTTCAGATGAACCAGATACTTCATATACTTGATTTCAGTGTCTCTAGAAATTTCCACCTGCAAACCACCAGGAAAATTCATGTTGCCAAGACCACTAGTGGGTCATTAAGAGGGTTACCTAAATAGAATCTCCAATTCATGCATAAACCACTTTGTGTTTTGTCATTACAGGAAGGTTCATGACAAACAGTGTGACAAAGTAGCAGTCACAATGGTAGCACCTAATCAAAACTCCAGTGGTAATGCAGCTGTTACTCAGGTAAAAAAAAATAATAATAATTTGTACTGACTTGCTATTATAATGTTTACGGGAATGTCCTGCGGAGGTTTGCAAGCCAGCATTTCAAATTGGTTTTGTTACATATCTTGTTTCTAAGAGAGAAGGTAGAGTTTCGTGGCATCAAATATTTTGCTTATATCTTTTGTAATGAGCAAGGTGTACAGGCATAGAAGCCATCTTGCATCATTGGGATAGGTTTAAAAGTAGTGCTGTTGAGTGGTGTGGTCTATAGCCAAGCCAAGCTACTGGCCTGTTCAATGAGACTTGTCTCAGAGTAGTGTAGATCAGTCTGTAATGGTTAGCTTCTATCCATTGGGCTTTATTGGGAGAAGGGGATTGGTTTTTTTTACTTGTTTTTACTAACTTTTAAAACAATGGGTACTTTGCAATGTTGGTATGATATTTTGGCAGGTGATGTCATGATACTTTAAGTATCTGAGATGTTGTAACATGTGGCATGTGAGTTTTTATTAGTTGCTTTTGATGTCTGGATATTATTTGTTTATGTAGAAAACTCGATATTGTTCTGTTGTTACAAATTGTGTTTTTTTTGTTAGAGTGCAGCTTTATTTTCTGTGCAGCGTGGTAACTGGCTGATGTTTGTGTAGTGTTTAATGCTTGCTTTTTTTTTTCCTGTTTGCTAGGAAGTGTTCAGGAGTGATAGTAAGGGCTTGGTGTGGTGTTGAATGCCACTGTTATGCTTTATGTTGTTATATCTGTGAAGTGATTTGAGTAATTCATTGAAGTTGTGGATATTTCATGCATTTACTTTTTTGTAGAGGGAAATCACTTATGGAGGAAACTCAAACTTGTTACTCTATCGATATGATTATATATTAGATCATTGCCCACATTTTCTGTCTTTCAAGTTATTTCCTAATATGGAATTCACCATCTCACTTTATGGGCATTTTTGCTTCTGTTATGCATATTGCTTCATGGCCTGAAGTTCTACTGTTTACATGCACTTATTCCAACAGATGAAAGCCAATGCACTCTAACTGAAATTTATCATTATTACCCAAGGTCCAAGTCCTGGATCCCCTTGCCATTGCAACAGCTGCGTCTGGCCTGAAAGAGGAAGAGGGTGTGACCTGCGGAAACAGCTTGGCATTGTCACACACACAGCCTACATCCAGCTCATCCACTGCCATGGAAGAGGTTAGATCATTGGTGTATTGTTTGATTCTCGTCTATTGTCTGTAAGTTGATGAATAAGGAGCCATTATACGTTGGTTGCTCTCTGTCCTATCAGAATATAGCTTTTTGAAATTCAGTTGCCATCATGTTAATGTGGCAATGAATGAATTTTTCAAAAGTATGATAACTATGTTTGTGATCCATGTTTCTCTGCATGTAAATTAAACTTGGCATCATATATTCATGGTTAAATATTCCAGGTTGGAAATGGCATGATTGGAGGCCCACAGTACATCACTGTTGGCAGCCAGCAAGCAGTTACAATACCTGTGGTTGGGGGCATGCAGGGACACATGCCTCCGATTGGTCATGTGGTGCAGGTAAGGTTTATTTTTTTCATGTATGTTACAAAATGTATAAAATTACACTTACATCCCTTTGATGATATCACATTATATGTTAATGCTTATATGTCTTTACAGTTTCCTTTAGGTGTTTTATAGGTTTGATAAGGTTTCTTTTTTCTTTTATTTTACTGTACATGGCATGGTATAAAATATAAAGTTATGCAGCAGTTAGGATGCAAATGGTTAAAGTGCCTTATTACTTAGAATTAGAATTTCAGTTAGAATGAACTATAAGAAATATGTGAAAGACTGTTCTGTTTATTACACTAACCATTCGTCAAACTTTGTTCCATGTAGGTCTCTGGTTCAACCGTACCTCTCACAAGTGTTGGCACAGCCCTTGCTGCAGGTGGAACGTCAGTACAGGCTGTGCAGACTGTACAGGCTGTACAAGCAGTACAAGCTATCCCTGGCGTGACCACAGCTGAATATTCTGTCCAAACCTTGCCTCCACAGGCAGTCCATGCGGCACAGGGTTACATATTTGCACAAGGTTTTGATATGGTCAGCAGTGGCATACAATACTGATGAACCAATGTACCTTATGTAAAGAGGTTGAGATTTGTAATTGCAGAATGGAAAGGTCAGTATGAATGTTGTGCAGGTGGAGCTATGTAAGAGATTTTTTATTTCTCTTTTTTTCTGTGATCATGTGGTTACTATTTGATGTTTAAAGTAAAACAAGAATCGATATTAATGTAGATGAAGATGAACAATAAATTTTGTAAGATATCTGCATTTTTTTCATATCAGGTTGAGTGAATGTGTATAATAAAGAAGTGGGTATGAAAATGTGCGAATAGTTAATTTACAAAAATCAGGATATAACAAACACAAACAATACCAGAATGATGACATGAGTGGAATTTGGTAGTTTAAGTCGTAATCAGAGAGTTCTTTAAAGAATAAAGGAGTATTTCTAGGGACCTCACATGCTTAATATAAAGTAAAGGAAAATATACAGGACAGGAAACAAGCACCTTCACATAAAAACAAATATGAAAGCATGACACTGTGTGCAAAGACGAAATGAAAAACAACTGCAATAACATTTATTGTTCCTTTCTAACTGTTAGATATATTTTTACAATAAAACTACACAAATCCTTGTGATATATATACCTCATGTACTCCCAATATAACAAGATTAAATGCATATACTTTATCTACTTCCATATATACCTGCCACAACATGAAGAAAATCAAATATTAACATTTATTGTGATTGTAATTGTAAATAGATCAATTAATAAAAATAGATCATGTAGAAGTAATTAACATGATATCTATCACAAGTTTAAAAATATGAATGGATTTCATACATAGAAAATTAATTGAAAATTATACATTTCAGTCTTTTTCTTTCATCTTCACATAAGTGAGGATGAATTTGATCAGGGAAAAGGTATTAATTGGTAGTAGGTAACAATACCAAACCACTGATCTAAATCAACAAAATGAAGCATCAGTATTCTTCATTCTTACTTTTTATATATATTTCATTAGAGAAAATTTTCAAAATTATATATAAAACAAATTTATGATCCTGTTTTATCCTGTTGAAAGTTACACCTGTGAAGTGTCTATAGATACAGTTATCGCTGCACAGCTGTGAATGCCGCTACTGTCAAATCCACTTTTTTATATTTTTCTGATATTCTATAGATAGTTATATCATGACAATCATCATCCTAATAATGATCATTATTATCAAAATGATAATGATTATTATTGCCCTCACCATAATTATCATCCTTATTGTCATCATCAAATCAATGATCATTAGTATCATTATCATAATCATAATTATCACCATCATAATCATTATTTTTCTTCTATTATTATTTTTGTTGTTATTATTGCTATTATTATTATTATTATTTTTATTATCATTGTTATTATTATTATTATTATTATTATATTATTATTATTATTATTATTATTATTATTATTATTATTATTATTATTATTGTTGTTATTTTATATTATCATTATTAATATCACCATTATAATTATTTTAATTATAGTTATTACTATTATTACCCTATATACATATATATATATATATATATGTATATATATATATATATATATATATATATATATATACACACACACACACACACACACACACACACACACACACACACACACACACACACACACACACACACACACACACACACACACACACACACACACACACACACACACACACACACACACACACACACATCTAATGCAAATGTGCGATATGGAGACTTACATAGTAAAGATAGAGGGAATAAATGAAGACAAAGGGTTAAGTCAAAACGGTTTAGAATTGTATTACGAAAAGGGGGTCGACTTCATATTCATTAAAATGTAAGATGGGATCCAATTCTTCCGACGCAGCTATAAATGAAAAAAAAGAACAATGCTACAAGATGCAGTGACGTCATATCATAAAAACTTTCGTCAGTCTGTGCGTAGATGACGTCATCAACGGAGAAGCTGCTAAGGCCGAAATTCTACCGGATAATGGAGTGATTATGGTCCTTAATTCTGATTCTGGAACGAGAGAAGATGGAATTACAACCTATTTTTGCGCTTTGCCTTAAAGATGTATCATTTATGTGTATATATGTCATAATTTTCAGGAAACGATTACATAGCTCTTCATATATATACCCAATTGACGTCAGTAATTCCACTTTACATATTATTTCCATTACGGGATACATCACATGTAGCTAAATATAAAACCTGTAACCTGGATGTTGCTGGCCGTATAGATTACTTTCCAGCAAAAAAAAAAAAAAAAATGGTATAATCTTATTTCAACGAACTGCTCATTTGACTTACTGGTGATTATGGTGATTATCATACGTTATAAAGGGGAAAAAGGGTAAAGGATCAGATGAATAAGGAAGAGGAGCACGAAGAGAATGAGAGGAAGAGATGGCTGAAGATGAGTGAGAGAAGGGAAATAGGAAGGTGGAAGAGGAGGAAAGGAATATGGGAAATAGGAAGGTGGAAGAGGAGGAAAGGAATATGGGAAATAGCAAGGTGGAAGAGGAGGAAAGGAATATGTTGAAAAAAGGAAAGAGGAGGAAGGTCTAAGCGGAATAAGTTAAACGGTGTGAACAGGATATAACAAAAATGAAATAGAAAAAAAGAAAGAAGGAAAAGAAGATGAGGGAGGAGAAGAAATCGGCGAGGGCTTGGGCAATAAAACTATATTACAAAAGTCATGAATATACAACTGTTCCCCAAAAATGACGATGGACGCATTTGTTATTTCTGGTCTCCTCCTCTGCTCTTTGTTGTCCGTGTTGGTTTCTTCCGTGTTTTGTTACATTTTTTCCCCACAAAGTCCCCTCCCCTTCCCCCGCCTGGTGATTGAGAAAGATATAGACATAAACAAATGATTATTTATCGGTTTGACCTCATCCGTTCTCGCAATGCCGCTTGACCTGATCTGGCACCGGAATAACAAATCAATGACCCTTTTTCCTAACCTCTCCCGCGTGCCCCCACTCCCAACTCCCCCCCCCCCTCTCAAGACACGCTTTAAAAACCATTGATTAAGGCGTCCGTTCGTCACATCTCTCCCACGATGCAGGTACGTCACAACAACGCCATCCTACGTCGTCAAATCGTGCTCGTGGATGACGTCATCGACAGGGACGATGCTACTACGGCCGAAATCCAATTCGAAGATGAGATGATTATGATCCTTATGGATGGGAGTTTCGACGATTTGGGTCTCGAGGAGGTTGAGATGGTGACTCACTTCTGAATGCGAATCTATTGATTTTATTTATGACAAATAAAGGATAACTAACACATTTTTTGTTTTCATTTGTTTCAAAATCCCTCATAATGATTTTACAATGGCTCTAGAGGGGGTGGGGATGAGGTGACTCGCTTTTGATCGTGAATTTATTAACGAAATGCGGTCCCTGGGTATAAGCAGATGACTGTGTAATGTAACTACATAATGAACTGTATGAATGCCTTGCGTAATAAATTGTGGTAAGCTGCACATTGTGTATTCTAATATGATATATAACATCTGGTCTGTTTGACATTAATTCATAAATTTGAGTTTAAATAGCTCTGGACCAAAATCTATGTAGCTTATATAGCATATATATATTTTTTCAATTTTTATTTTCATTTTTTAAAGATAGACGCGCGATTTTGGATTTTTTAGTATGCATGTGTATGTCTGTCTCATGTGTTTTTGTACAAACACACGTTTCAAAAGATTGATTTCCATCAACCTCGCTGTTTGACCTGATTTGACACATGTCACATTAGATTAAACGGCCTTATGTAAGAAAAGAAGAAATTGTGTATATTGCATTATATTCGTGCAACCTTTACTCAAAAATATAAAAATCCCACTTAAAAAAGTTTCATCCAGTATCAAACGATGACCAAATACAATCTTTTTATTCCCGTCTATGGAATTATATAATAGTGTAGTATATCATTCCAATATAAAAAAAATATCTTGTATTTGACATTTCCAAGAAAACGACACATCACGAATCATTACGCGCGTATCAATGTCCTAAAAGAAAGTAATAAACTTCACATCAGCTACAGTACTTAAACACTTCAAATTTACTTACCATAACCGACCTCAAAGGCGTAAATACATCAGTTCACGAAGAGGGAGTTATATTCTCGGTGCCAATATGTCCGTAAAGGGTTGTTCTGTGATCTCAAATAGTACAAAACCAACGTGAGGATATTTTTGTTTCTATTTTCACTCTTATCCTGTACTGAAATAAGAATCTAATGTCTCCGCGTGTATCTCGATTTTACGGAAATATATAATAGGTTTCCATTGGAATTCGTTGCCGAATCGTTGTAGTACTTGTACAGGTTATGATGATCAAACGTTCGGTTATAAAATTCATCTCTTCTATTCTGGAACGCACACCAAAATAAATACAAAAAACAGTGTTAATAGGAGCTTCAAACTCTTGAAATCAGTTCTTTCCCGCCATTATACAAAAACACATGGCAGTTTCATTTCACTCGTACGTTACATGGTCCTTTTGTTAACATATAGTTATAGCCATGGCTTGTAGAAAACTTCAAGTTGTGGAGGGTCTCTGGTAGGGGGATAGGCCAGGCGTTTTCATTTCTCCCAGGCATTGGAAGGGCTAAAGGTGCCGTCACACTAGCACTTTTTCCGTCATTTTTTTTTTGGCAATTTTCTGAAATTTTGTCCATTTTTGAGCGAATTGTCGATTCTCCAGTCAGATGATAATGATCGTTTCCGTCTGAAAACCTTTCCGTCAACTTTTTCAGTCAAGCATAGTCAAATCAAGAGCTATATTCGAGAATGTTTGTATTTATGTTAAATAAAATTGTCAGTGACGGAAAAAGTGCTAGTGTGACACGGCCTTTATAAGGAATTCACGGCATCCCAGTGTCAGCTCAGGTCAGTCGGACTCTAAAAGAACATGCAAGGTTAACCAGAAGACTGCGAAATGAACCTGGGTTTGCGGCCTAAAATATGCAGAAAAAATGATTATCTAGATATTCTATTTTCCCATACTGGTTAAAGCTACTTTGTAAATCGCTCTGTAATGACATATGAACGATAAACTTTTCCAAAGCGCATGTTTTCTAAAAGAAATATTGCAAGATCGTCATAAATGTGCTGACATGAATAAACATTGGTTGCTGTACAGGTAGTGTTAGCTCACGTGGTGCAGTGCTGACATGTAAATATTTGGTAACCTTTCATTTTTTTAATGTATGAGTCATATCACTTTTGGTAATTCTGCTTTAGGAATTCAGCGAATCAATAATCGATATATTTGTATTATTATTATTGATATACATATGTGTATGTGTCTGGATATTCATGGGATGATTTAATAATTTGTTCGTGTATAAAATCATATTAAAGTACCTGAAAACACGATTAGGCTAATTCGAGCTGACCAATATCTGCAAGGAAGCGGTTTATACGTGTTTTATCATTCTGGAATCGGAGCATAAATCTAGTATCTATAAATCCTTTAGATATTCTTGCAGTAGATATATTCAAGTCTACATATAATACATACTGATATCTATTTAAAAATTCCATATGAATATATCCGCGATATTTGGAATGGAATGGAGTCACTTGTTAAACCTGATATTTTATGCCACGTATAAAGCAAAGAAAGAAAGACACATATTTCATAATATTCCATTTATTTAGGTAAAATATATGCAACTTAGACACACGAATAAAAAATCTATCATAAAAAAAATCCTGATTAAAAGGAAGTCATCATTTCCTCTTCCTGCTGCAAGACCCAGTTCTGGAAACCATCTACCGTAAGGACCATAGTCGTCCCATCTTCCAGTTGGATTTCGACCATGTATTCCGCATCATCAATGACGTCATCCAGGAGCACAACCTGACGGCGGAGCTTTGCGTTGTTGTGACGTAACTGCATCTTGGCCGTGTGATGCTGAGAAACGTCTTTGTTGGTTTTTATACGACGTTCAGGGAGGGGGCACACGGTTTCCCTCATTGCATAGTTCTAGGGAGGAAATGGGGAATGACAGGGAGCTATGTGATTTCCCGCAGGTCAGGTCAGGTCATACGGATATTCCAAGAGGCAAGCGAGGTTAAGCGGAAGACTGTGTGAGGTGAACATGAGTCTGCACCCTAAATTTTGACGAAAATGAACATCGCTGTGTAAATTCCCCTTCTTCTGGTATCAATTTGCTCTGTAGTTTATGTTATTTGAATATTCATATTCCGTGAAAAGGTCAAATCCACCAAAAGATGCAACTATTCTACTGCATCAAAATGTGGGAAGTATAAAACTCCACCTAACTGATGTTATGTACTTTTCGTTAGTTAATTTCATGAAATAATGAACAACTGACATTAACAACTCAATTAATTTTCAATGCAATGCCCTGCAATAACAATCATCATCTGATATACCACTGAATACGTAAGCTTTGTTTCCAGAAAAGATCACACGCTTTCCTCTCTATTGCACAATTTGGCCAGCGGTTAATAGAATCACAGATGTACTGCACGTTTAACTGAAAATATATGATTACAGGTTTATGTGCTACTTCATCACTACGCTCATCAGCATGTGTAAATATTATAAAATAAACATAAATGAGGATTTATCGCCTTACGTGTAATGTATAAACAGGTGCAAGTTTGTAAGCAGTTCAAACCATGTGCGAATGCGGTGTGTCCCTTATGGCGAATTTGTGATATATAATTATAGAAAATACGCACAACCCATATACGATAAGCAGTGTTTCTCAAATTATATATTCCCTTAAATATACGGAAGTTTTTGTAAATGAATCTAACATCTAGTCAAATCAACGGGAAAATTTAGGTTAGATCAGCCTGGGTCGATTTTTACACTTTCCTTGCGTTTCGGACAAACAGGACACTGATCGCAGAAGCAAGAAATGCATATTTACAAAATATTATGTGACACGTGCTTAGGAGTCTTGAAAGGTTGATAACCACTGCCATAAAGTAATTCCACGTGTAAACAATGTGATAAATCTTTATGATAGTTGAAGAGTCATAAAAATAGATTAAAAACACAGCAAAGATGGTTTAGTATGATAAAAGGGCGGGCTGCATTTGAAATTAACAATCGATGATTCTAACCTCAGGTAACGTTAAATATAGTATCGGCTAATTATTCCGAAAGTTCGTTGCTATAAAATAGACAAATATATAATTTAAAAATCGGCCATAGTTCCTAAATTGAAAATGAATTACACATGAGTCTTTCCTACTTGTCTTCAATCTTCTCTGTTCTTTATTTTCATTCGTTATGTCAAGACAGGCTTATAGTCTCTGTCTCGCTCTGATCGAAGCTGTTTGGGACATCATTTGCATTCATTAATAAAATCCATATTCTGTCCTCTTTGGTAGTGTTTTTTACCATCACTTTTACACCAACGACAGACAAAACTTGGTGAAACGGAATACATTCAAGAAAAAGTTACCAAACATACCAAAGCTTCATATAACGAATGAAAATAAAGTGCAGGTGAAACTGTAGATGTAATTTGTTTTCAATTCGGGGACTATGGCTGATTTTTTTTTTTTTTTTTTTTTGTTATTCATTTATTTATATATCTATCTTAAACAATGAAGTTTAGAAATTTCTAGACCAAGCGTCCCTCATTTTTGTGTGCTCTATCACTTCCGCCAGTTCGCCCATCCTAATTTCCCCTTAATTAATACGGATAGAGGAAAACGTAACCAAAAAATAGGACATCAACTTGTACAGTAACGTAAATCAGGATTTTATTTTATCATTATCTATCCTATTTTAGATTCCCCAATATAAAGAGAGGTTACTAATATATACACAGACTGTTGGCAATAAGTGTATTAAATGCACTGCATATAAACATTAGCATTCCACACAAGCAAAAATACTGTTAAAAATACGTCAATGTTTCGTCTGCCTCTTCCAATATCAGGTCCAGCAAACTCTCTACCGTAAGGGTGACAATCATTCCATCTTCCAGTTGGACTTCGACCGTACTGTCATCCCTCTCTCCTACGTCATCCATAAGGATGAACTGACGTCGTGGCTTTGCGTTGATGTGACGTAATCGCATGTCAGAGAAGGTGTGATGCAAAGATTTCTCACCAACGGTTTTTGTATGGAGGGCCGGACGGGGTGGGGTGGGTGGGTGGGGGAGGGGTGGGGGTGAGGGACGCTGAGAGGAATTTGGACAAGTAATTTCACAGTTTAGGCACAGTAATTTGTCGATAATTCATGGTCCATGTTAGAATTAAGGAAATTGTGGAGTGTTCTAGAAACTTTTTTTCTGTTTTTCTCTTTTGTGTAGTCTTTGGAACTTCAGTAAAAAAAAGTATGGCTAAAAAGTTGTTTTTAAGTAGATAGGTATACAATAGACACTTCGATTATTTAAATTGGTTAATGTATCCCCATGTATTTATTTCATATTATAAATAAGATTGATATGATTTCTTATGTGAGATATGATACTTATATCCTTTTCTGCCTCCTAATCATTATTATTTAACAATTATCCCTCCATGTGTTCCTCATTTTCATTATCTCCTCTTTATCATTATTGTTATTTTCATTATTGTAATTATCATTGTAGTTAGCCATTGTTATTGTTCTTTGCTATGGTTACTCTCACAAGTATCACTATATTACCCTTCTTATTACCGTTAAACACCATCGCCATCACTATAATCATTTTATCTCCTACAGACGCACATAATGTTTGTTGTTATTCGGACCTTGTGAGAGAAATGCATACCTGAAGCGCAGTACGAACATGTCTTGGGTAGGGACCTATTTTAATCAGTGGTGGAGGACGCGCACTAAGTCCCGTGGTAATGCTGAAGGTCAGTAAGACAGCACAGACTTGAGAAAACAACTGGAAAAGCTGATGATTTACATTCGCCATAATTGTTGACGTTTTAGTTGTGCGAATAAGGGAATTGTGTAGAGTCACTGTCATCTTCCATTCTTCATTAAAAATGTGTTTGCTTATTTGTGAATTTGATTCTTATATCTTTTAGAACTACATTTTTTTCACATAAAGCAAATTGAGTTTCGATTTGAAGCCTTGGTCGACCATGAAAGATGCTGATTCATGTCTCGGAATTCAGGTGCAGGTGTTTCAAGTACTTCAACAGTCATTGCATACTCTTTGTTAGGGTTTGTTTCAGAGAACTGTGCCGTTACATCCTGTATTTAAGCATACCAAGTACTATATTTGAACTAATTTCATATAAGACAATATATTCAGCGTGTGTATTGCGCGTGGGTCGTCCTGCAAGTAGAGAAAGATGTATATTTTTGTACCGAAACATGGCTCGATAACAGTTTCGGGTCAGGCATGAATGGCGTAGTGGCGGTACGCTGACCTGCGTACTAAAGAGCAGATTGCCATTCATAGTTTATTGTCAGCGCACGTTTCTGTCCTTATGTGGTTTCTTGATAAAACTATTATTAGAGTACTATTATTTTTTGATCGTTGGTATTTTCATGTCCATTGCATCTTGTTAAAAATTACATTGGTATATACACGCGAAAATAAGTAAGAAAATCAAACCACGTTCATGTAACATGATATAATTCATGAGAACGTGACCTGCATTTTAAGAGAAGCCATTGCTGCCAAAACAATACACGTCGGTAACACAAAACTGGTTCTCTATTACATGATATTTTCCCAAGCAAACAAGAGATGAGGTGGATAAAGGTGAAATTAACTCGAGAGAAAAGAAAGCATGTGATAAATCAGAATTGAAATTGAAATGATAGAAAGAAATCTATAGATTGATTTTTATTACATTTTCTTACTGTATTTGTATTAGATTTAAAGATACGTTATCATAGTTATAAAAATATTTATTATAACTATGATTACTGAGTTCCTGTTTTGTATATAATAAAATTACAAATCCACCAAAAGCACAGCAAGTGTCTAGATGTATACATAGATATTTAGGATATGCTATATATTATACATATGTATAAAGCTGACAAGAGAAAGGTGAAGAAAACATTAGTGATAACAGTAATGATATCAACCCCACTCCCCTTATTAATGTTATATTCATATAACCTATAGACAGCATATACATGTGGTTATTGAGGAAGAAATATGAATGTCATTGCTAATCATAAAAAACAATAATGGTATCAACCGCAGTCTCCTTATATTTAGGACAAAATACATTGACAGAAGCACGAAATAAAGAAAAAAGTGCTAACAAATATTAATAACAATAATATCAACCCCAGACCCATAACTCTCGTACCTCCCGTTCTTCTCCTTCAAGACGTTCAGGTCAATTAAGATAAGCCGAATCCGGATGCAATCAGAAAGCGAGGTTTCGATTCCCAGAAGAATGCTGTCAATCAAGGTGATGGGAACTGGGGATGACCGCGTAATAGTGGTGGTCATGCACTCCGACAGGAAATGATTGCTGGGAAGAGCTGAGGTTGAATGATATTGCAATGATAATGCTGTGTCTTTGTTGTTTGACAGTAGGCGGTTTTATCTTCTCTGGTGATATGGTTTTGTTTGTTGTGTGTTTTATTATTTTGTTGATTGCGTATTAGTCACGATTTGGGAAATATTGAAAAAAATGGTGTTCCCATTGGTTAAATGTACATATACAGTCAGATGTGTATATATCCTCGTGTAATGTTGGAGAAAACACTAAATATATATACACAAGCCCATCATTAAATGCAGTATGTACCGTTCTCGATTCCGATACGAGGTAGAAGAGTATTAAGATATTTATTGACAACCGACGATTCATATATATCGATGGAAATACAATGATTTATAGTTGCCAGAATCATTTGTAAAGATCAGTTGCCATTTTCCTGTGTAATGTATTATATGATTTATTACATGTGTTTCATATTAGTTCATTGATTTTTCGTGCTATAATACATTTTAAGGTTATTCAAATATTAACTCTTTAAGATACACAAGGACCACGTGGAGTTAGCCAGGCATGGTAGACCTACATGCATCCAGACATTATACGTTTAAATTATAAAGTTTGATAATAGAGATTCTTTAACAGTCCTCACTCATAGACTGCAATATTGGTTTACTTAGTTTGTATTATCGTTAGTTATCCTAGTCTATATAACTATTTTATTTGGCCTTTATCGTCTGTACAGGAAAGTATTTTGGGTCGAAATATGATGGTTACTTTTTTTCCTTCTCATGGTGGCAGTTTCATTTCCTGAATTATTTGAAAGATATTTATTTGATGAAGAAACGATGTCATTTTTTTTTTCTAAGACCGCTGTCTTCACTCCAGAATATTAGAAAGAAAACCACCGAGGCTGATGGACTGCGGTTGTTAAACTCTTACGTAATGCATAGATTAGATTTGCTGTTGTGTAGGTTGTTTTGTCCGTAACAGCTTTCAGAGGACCAAGCCGGAATAAAGGTGACATGACAAATTATCAGTGCAGGTAGTATAAGGTGATGTGACACTTTATGTAAGTAAGTCATTTAAGGTGATATGACATTATGAAAGTAGGTCATTTAAGGTGATGTGACAGATTATGATGGTAGGTCATTTAAGGTGATATGACATTATGAAAGTAGGTCATTTAAGGTGATGTGACAAATTATGATGGTAGGTCATTGACGGTGATGTGACAGATTTTGAACCTTTATAATCTGTCATATCACTTTAAATGACATACCTTCATAATCAGTGCAGGTCGTATAAGGTGATGTGCACATTATCTAAGTAGGTCATTTAAGGTGATATGACAGATTATGAAAGTAGGTCATATAAGGTGATATGACAGATTATGAAAGTAGGTCATTTAAGGTGATGTGACATATGAAAGGTCATCTAAGGTGATGTGACAGATTGTGATGGTAGGTCATTGAAGGTGACATGACAGATTATAAACCTTTATAATATATCATATCACTTTAAATGACATACCTTCATAATCAGTGCAGGTCATATAAGATGATGTGCACATTATCTGTAGATCATTTAAGGTGAAATGACAGATTATGAAAGTAGGTCATTTTCGATTTATTCAAAGACATTCGATTAGGAAAATCTTCGTCCATTAATCCCAAAGATTATTTGAGAGAATTAGATCGCTGTAATATTAAAGCAGACAAATTTCTATTGTTATGGCACCTGTGTATGACAATATTTTGCGAATATAATAACGTTATTTATCTTTCCGTTTGCAGATAATGTTAGTGTACGAGAATGTTGAATGGGAAGGAAGTGACACAAAATGGAAATAAAAAATGTTTCAGATTGCCAAAAATATTGAATGTGCTGTATAGGTAATTTGCAGAGAAAACGCCATATCGAATCTGGCGAAGACGAGGTGGATAAACTGAGGACATTACGTGGTGGTATCCTGTGTAGCAGAGGTTCCCAAACCGGGGTACGTGGACCCTTAGAGGTACTCTGAGGGATTTTCAGGTGGGGGGGGGGTACGCGACTTGTTCCGAATACATGACTGTTCTATTGTACAATTTAGATATTTTTTTTCTTTTTATATTTCTATTTCTATGTCTTATTTCTAGTTTAGGGTCTTGAGCACCTGCACATTCCTGTATATATATATGGTTAAAATTACAGGTATACGTACGAATAAGAAATGCAAGTGGTACGTGGTTTATGCAAAGCTTCGACGGATACACGGTCGACCGACGTCATGGAACCCCCGTGAATGTAAAGAGACACGCAGTGATAAGCACGGCAGCAATGAGGGAGGCACGAGAAGTGTGCCAGTGGCCAGGAGGGGAACTGCCTGTACGTGCACAACCGCATGTCTCCTCCATAGGCATGCCAGTTGCGTTTTCCTCTTGAAATTTAACACTGCACACTGTTGCTGTTCTCTTTTGCTCTCCTGCCGGTGCTGGGCATGTAGATAACGAGGAAAGGTAGCGGGGAGCGTTGACCTCGCCCCGAATGTCTCACGTACATGAAGTGTTACATTACATCATTATGTTATTGTTGGAGGAAACGATGAGCGTGTAAGTCTCTTGGCCCCTGTGTCCGCTGCCTTTTTTAGTCGTGCTCCACTCTAGTGTCGTGTAGTCAGGACATAGATGTGCAGTGTATTTAGGCTATTTAGGATATCGCGGAGGGTATATCGATATCGTAAGATGAAACGATATAATGCGTCTTGTGGAGAATGAGAGAAATTGTATATGAAATCCATACTGGGGTATATGCTATGGAAGCAGCATTACTAATTCTAAGGTACTTGTAGATACCTATTGTGGAGAGTTGGGCCACACTGGACAGCGAGAAGGATAACCAGCCAGACGGTAAAAGGTCCCTATGAAACGTACCTCGTCGACGTAATCACGAGTGAAGAGTCAGGAAGTAAACACATTAAGAATTGTCACTCGCAAGGAGATCCACCAGTGACCATAGTTGCTGACGCAGCAGAGTTTCTTATAAAAACCCTGATCAGAGCAAGCTAGTTTTTTTTACGATGTAGACGAGAATAAACGTTGTCCGGCATCACAGCTAAATTTCGATGTAGTGCGGATGCTGAACTAAAGTGTGATAAGTAGTATTTGATATGAATATAATCTTGGGCCTGTAACAGATACATATTCACTAGTTTAGACATACGAAAAATATATTTACTTACTAGAGGAGTTTTAAGCAGGGAACGGTACAGCGCTTGGCCTATCGGCAAGAATTCTTGCCCAAACGCTCCCCTGCTTAAAACGCTTCAAGTTTTCTTGTTTGTACAAACATTTCTTTTACATCCTTTAAAGGAGACACATGTAGATTGGTAGATTAAGAAAAAATACACGTTAGTCTCACATAAATTTGCGGACCAGTAGATAACTTATAAGCCTCAAAAGCACATTATACAGCGTTTCTCTAAAAGGTCGTTATTCCAAACCTGTCCAGATTCCCTCTTGACGTCAGTAATATCAGTAAATAAGTATAAAAAGGGTTGGTCATTCAGCAAGTAAATTCATGAATCACGCCTTACATGGTGCCAAAAACGTGAGTTGATTTTGTAGGTCAGCGTCGGACCAACCCTTCCCAAAGCCTCACACAGCACTGACTTAGGACACGTTTTCCAGAATCCGAACAAACAAAATACTTTCTAGACGATGTGTTCGTGTATGTGTGATTTTACTATTGTGTCGTCTTTTATTTACCTTTTTTTTTTTAATCGTTTTGAAGCTATCGCATTTGGCTAGACTAGAGATCTTGTGTTGGTTAGCCTTGAAGTCCATAAAAGGCTGTTATTTTAATTTCCATGCAGTACAGAGGTTTACCATATTTGAGGACCACAGACACTGCATGTCATGAACAGAAAATTAAGAATGGCGTCGCTGGCCGATTGGCAGTCTTGTCTGATTTGTTTTTTCTACCACTAATTGTCACTATTTTTATCGTTATTATTATTGCTATCGTTATTGTTTTTGTTGTTATTATTATTGTTGTTGTTTTTGTTTATTTATTATTGTTACTACTACTTTAACTGCTATTTTGGTGGTGTTATTGTTATTATTTATATCATTATGATTATTACCATTGTTGTTATTAATATTATTATTATTATTATTATCATTATTATTATTATCATTATTATTATTATTATTATTATATTATTTATTATATTATATTATTATATTATTATTATATATATTTATTATTATCATTATTATTATTATTATTATTATATTATTATTATTATTATATTATTATTATTATTATTATTATTATTATTATTATTATTATTATTATTATTAATTATATTATTATTTATTATTATTAATTATATTATTACATTTATTTATTATTATTATTAATATTATATTATATTATTATTTATTCATTATTATTATTATTATTATCATTATTATTACTATTATTATTGTTGTTACTATTATTATTGTTACTATTATTATTATAATTATAATCATTATCATTATTACCATTATCATTATTATAATCATGCAAGATTCGTAATAGCCTGATGCAAAGAATTTAAAAGTAATGACAGTAGTGATGATGATTATCATACTGCGCTGATCTAAATCTAATAGAAGTACGGACTCTAAATGCCATGAAGCAAGTGATGGGGTGATGCTAATGATCAGTGACTATATAGGTCTATAGTCTTTGCTAATGATAACTACTATATTTTCAATATTAAAATCTTCCTTTCTCTCTCTCTCTCTTCTCATCTCTCTCTGTCTCTGTCTGTCTCTGTCTCTGTCTCTGTCTCTGTCTCTGTCTCTGTCTCTGTCTCTGTCTCTGTCTCTCTCTCTCTCTCTCTCTCTCTCTCTCTCTCTCTCTCTCTTCTCTCTCTCTCTCTCTCTCTCTCTCTCTCTCTCTCTCTCTCTCTCTCTCTCTCGAACACACACACACACACACACACACACAACACACACACACACACACACACACACACACACACACACACA